TGGTTTACTGTGAATATAATTAAGGTTACTTCCAAAATTGCTTGTCTACAAAATTGATGGAAGGAATTAGCCTATGAATATGCCTACATTCTCCTTCATTTATTAAGAAAATGTCATTTTATCTAAATTATATATAAAATTTCCTTGCTGCATAATAAGAATTTGCTGGGGAGGAGCTATACCCACCTATAGTTTATAAGCTTTTTCCTCACAGATTCTATATTCTGTTTTCAGATCATTTTTCTTCCTTTTTTTCCCAGCATTAAAACTTCTATCGATCTTTACTGGTTAACAATATTAATTTTTAACTTCAGCATCCAAGAACAGCCAGAATCCACTTACAGGATTTGCTTTGATCAAGCCTCCAGGGCATCTTGCTAATCCAAAAGGGCCCATGAACTTTTGTGTTTTTGGCAATGTGACCATTGCAGCTCGTCATGCCCAATCATGTGCATGGATTAAAACGATTCTCAATCATTGATTTTGATGTTCACCATGGGAATGGGACGAATGATGCATTTTATGATGATCCAAATATATTCAAGTAAGCTATAATTTCTTTGCACTTGATACATTTTTCTCTTGCTAGTCACATGCAATTTTGACATCTTGCTAAATTATCTCAATGTCTTCTTCCTATGTTACCAATTATAACGCCTCATTTGGAGCATGAATTTTATATTTAAACACAGATACAGAAGGTCAGATGTTGCAAAGAAATAAATCGAGTCAACTGGATATCTCAAGCAAATATATGATCAGAGTAAGTTTTTGTTTCCTTGTTGAAGAACTGTAGATAATCAAACAATTATGAAAATGAACTGTGTACCAGTTTCTTCAACAAAAATCCAAACTGTCATATTGGTTATGTATGGTAACCACAGTAGGAATTTTGAATAGTGATGAATGCATGTGTTATTTCCCCAAATTTTCAGCACATCCTATTCTTCAAGATAAAAGGTGCCCTAAAATCTGAACTTACCAAGTATGAAATGTCATTCTTTGTTGGTTGTTAGAGATCGTTCAGGTTTGAATTTCCTCTTCCCTTGGAGAAAATTGAGGTTTGACTTTATTTGCCACTAGGAAAACTGATGTGATATAAAAAACATCTTCTTTTCCTTTGTTCTCCCTTTTCGCCTCTCATTTGTGTGTGTTTTTCTTTTCACTTTGGGTAATTAGCTTTGTGTTTGAGGTGGAAAATTAAAGACTTTAAAGTAATAAAAGCCAGCCATCTTGTCTGTGCAGGAGGTCGTTGTAATACTGCTCTGTTTACCAACTAATGTTCTCTTACTCCCTATGTCCTGACTTTCTGTCTGTCCATTCTCATACTACTTTGGGATCACACATTTCATGCATTCTTCTGTGAGTTATCATAAGAACAGTTTTGCTAATTCACAGCTATTTATTGTTAAAAGTGAGAGAAAATCAGGAGAAACATTTTGTTCAATCTCAAATTGGTAAGGCACGCAAATAATTCTAGGTCAAGGGAGTAATATGCATGTCAAAACACATGATAAAAAGCGGAAAATATGTGATGAACTGACCTATGTTATACTTAGCCAGCAGCATGATATGTGTACTTGTGGCATGTTCTTGCAGTTCGCGTGCCAAATGTCATTATTCAAGTAGGATTTCTGTTGCTGGATACCCACGCATCTAAGTGTAAATGCATAATGTGCCCACTAAGCACTTAAATCCTATTTTCCTCTTTATGAGCACAGGGATGGAAGCTATCCAGGTACCTGTAAAATTGATGAGCTAGGACATGGAGATGGTGAAGGTACACCTTTAAATCTGCCTCTACAAAGAGGCTCAGGTGATATTGCCATTAGGACCGTATTTGATGAAGTCATTGTACCAAGTGCTCAAAGGTTCAAGCCAGATATTTTTCTTGCTTCTGCTGGGTGAGTTGCCACCCTTCCCATGGAATTCAATACATCCTCGAAAGGAAATAATTTTGCAACACTTTTCCCTCTTTTACTGAAAACAATTTGTTTCCCAAAATGATGTGATGTGGAAATCTTATGGGAATATTTTGCTCATTTTTCCTTTCTATGCTATCCAAGATAAAATCATCTTGGTGTTTTACTGCAATTTAAATGTTATGCATTGCTTGCACCTGCAGCAGTTCTTAGGGACTGTTTGTGAAGCCTTTCAACAGCCTTTTTGAACTCTAAATAGCAAGTTTGGTTGAACTAAATAGTTGACAAAGTTTTAACTTCTCATACTGAGGTTTGAAACTGTGTTGTTGTGCTATTAAAACGAATAGACTGAACAAAGCATGCATTGCGAATATTTTTCCACGTATGATGGTCCTGTTCTGGATCCACTAGGAAGTCTTTGATTTACAACAGGAACATGATGCATGCTTGCCTCTAATATTAAACAACTGGCAAAAGATCTGTGGTGGCCGTTGCGTGTTTTTCTTGGAGGGAGGATACAACCTTGATTCTGTTTCATATTCAGTGGCGGGCTACTTCCATGCTTTCATTGGGGAGAAGAGTTTGGCATCTGAGTTTGATAACCCTGCCATCAACTAGGATGAAGCAAGCGATTCAGAGAATTAAACACATGCATTCACTTAAGATGTGTAGGCATTAATTACATGTATGTCTAGAAGTAGCTTTGCCAGCAAGCTTGTTGGGCACCTAAAACACCAGCATAGCTTTCCTTGGTTAAATACTGCAATCTCCAAGGTGGTTCTTTAGATGTCTTAAAAGGATAGTAATTTTCCTGTGTAGTATCGTTTAACGAGTATCAGTAACAAGCGTTAGCTAGTAAAGTTACATCCTGCAGAAAAAGATTCAAGTTCATATTTAGATGAATGATTTTTCCCATCCCATTTGTTTCTTTTTATGGACAGAATAGAAAGGTGAATGGTTTCTTGCCCATGATTTAAAATCATCCAAACAAAAGCATTCCTTCTCCCCTTCCGTTTCCACCCCATGAACATGGTAAACTCGAAAAAAGGAAAAAAAGAAAACCTAACGTTAATAATCACTTTCATAAAGAAAGGAAATCTAGCAATGGGTCGTCACTTTTTCTGTGAAGTGACGGGGACAACGCGACACAGGACGAAGTTAGCTATATGTCTTCGATCAGCAACATGAATGGCGTTGTCAAGCTCCGATATTTGGAGCCATATTATCCTCCTTTACCCACCGACATTTATACCGTTGCCACTTGACATCAAACCCTTAATCTATAAAAATTTATTTTGGATTGTGTTTGTTGATTATGATAAGATTACTCATCTTGCGTCAACGATAAGATTACTCATTTTGCGTACTTTTACTGTGCCAATGAGCCCTTGATATTTGCTGTGATTATCAAAAATTGAGGGAGGTTATGAATTCATCGTTCACCTTTGTGGACAAAGCTCCGGAATACTGCTTTGGTTTTTTTTTTTTTTTTTGACATCAACTTATTTATTACACCAGCATTTCGAACAAGTTGAACTTAGTTCCCAATTATATTATCTGAGAAGTCACAGTTTCCAAATCATTCTTCCAACAACGGGAGAAAAACACACGTCCATGACTAAAAAAGCAGAAATCGTTGTCACATGTCAAGCCTTGGCACGATATAAGAAATCGTGAACAAATGTCACATAAAAGAAACTTTGAGATGACTAACGAGACAGCTGATAGCGTAATTTTTACTGTGTTAATAGTCGTTTTTTTAAATATTTTTATTTTAAAATATATTAAAATAATATATTTTTTATTTTTTAATATTAATACATTAAAACAATATAAAAATATTAAAAAAATAATTAAAAAAAACGGTGCTAGGAATTGACCCCTTAGAGATTTAAATTTCACATCCCAATAGTATATGCTATCTCTAAGATTGTGGTTGGAATGTGTTCTTATAAGATTTTGATTTTTTTTATATATGATATAAAAAATTAAAATGTAAAAAGAATATTATTTTATTATTTTTTCAAATAAAAAAATACTTTAAAAAATAATTCAAAAAAGAGAAAGAGGGGTGATAATGATAAAATTTGCATTTTATGTATGATATATATTTGTGTTGGGATAATGCATCCCCGGAGCAAGGTCATGTCACTCCCCTGTAATTGGTCAAGGTAGCGTTGGTCTACTACCGAATTAAAGCTACTATTTTCTACTATTTTTTTCGGGGATGAAAGCCACACAAGCAAGCAGTACCCCATCATGATTATTGCTCGAACATAATTAATCATTCTCATCTCTAGCTTTTATACGACAAAGATATACCAAACGAATCAAACCTCGACTGCATGCTTACCTCATCCTACACTCATAGTGTATTAGAACACATCTTTTACCACTGGGAGCTTTTTACAATGGCTAATTGGTCTTAAAGAACCAATATCCAGCCAAAAGGATCCTGAGTCTCGAGTTAAATTTTGTAAGAAACATGGCAAAGCATGATTATTTCTTTTTTTCAGAATATTCAACTTAAAGGGTGACAGAAAACATCATTTCTCAATTTAAAACAGTAAGAAAAAAAATTGTTTTTGGCTCAGTGTATTAAGACATGGATTTCTTTTTTATCCGATTTTATTCATAAAAAATAAGTTCGGTTACTAATTATTATTAGGTTTTTTTTTTTTTTTGTAGGAAATGAAATTTGAGGTTTTTATCACGGAAAATAATCTTCTTCCGAGACAGATACATGACGTTCGGGTCTGGTTCATCTATCTTCAGTTTGTCAAAAAAAAAAAAAACTCCCGAGTTAATCTCTGTGATTACATCACATTTTCGTCACATGCTGCTCATATTTTTGGATGGTAAAACATTTGGAGATCAACGATTAATAATTAATAAATATCCCCTGAAGTGATCGAGTACAACGTGCAGTGCCTCATCCATTGATTTCATCACTTAAATGCTTCCATTTGATGATGAAAATGACCAAACATACCGAACTCACTTTGATTGCCCTGGAAATTGATTATTTAATGTAAAGGACTTGAAATAATCCATTTGTAGCCGCCTTTCCACCCTTGGCCCATAACTAATTCTTGAGTCACAGTGCAGCAATCAGTGTCTCTCTTCTCACTCAACACTATTATATAGCTAGGTCTATGGCCCTCGGGATATCTAGCCACATGCACTGTCCCACGTTCTAACTTCACCCAAAAAAACACCAAACTTATTTGGCTTGTGTTTGTTTAGGCATGGGAGATCATGGCTGTAGTGGTAACCTTCCTCCGGGATTTGTTTTCAGCCCAACCGATGAAGAACTTGTCCTTCACTTTCTTCATCGCAAGGCCTCACTCTTACCTTGCAACCCTGACATCATTCCTGATCTTGGTCTCTATCCCCATGATCCCTGGCAACTTGAAGGTAACTCACTTTATCTCTATATATCTTGATCTTGGTTTTTTCTTTTTTAAATCAACTTGGATTTTTTTTTTAATAAGATGGGAAATAAAATGAATTATATATAGCTTCTAGCTCAAATGAAAGTTATTTCCCATTGCCTAGAAAAATGGGGAGAGGGGGGCAAGAAAGTTGCCATGTTGGTTCAAAGAAATAGCTAAGTTCCTGTTATCTTTTTGAGTGAACAGGCAAGGCTTTGTCCAGTGGAAACCAGTGGTACTACTTTAGTCGAGTGATGGAGAACCAAGTCACAGAAAATGGGTTTTGGAAGTCATTAGATACTGAAGAACCTATATTTAGTAGTGCTGGTAAGAAGGTTGGATTAAAGAAATGCCTTGTGTATTGCATTGGTGCTGACGGTGTAGAAACAAGCTGGATGATGCAGGAATATCATCTTTGCAACAGTAAATTGAGCGGCACATCTTACAAGAGAAAGAAAAAACTAGTAAGCAAAACCCTTAATTTCTTTTAATTAAGATACAATATAAATGCCAGATTGATGAAATAAAATAGTAATCTCCAACTAATATATCTTTAATTGTTTGATATCTATAGGATTGTCATCAATGGATCCTGTGTCGAGTCTATGAAAGGGAGGGAAGTTGCATCCAAAACGCCGGCAATACCACTGATGATGACGACGGGACTGAACTTTCATGTCTAGATGAGATGTTCTTATCAATGGATGATGATCTTGATGATATAAGTTTTCCAAATTAGTTTCAGTATATTGTTTCAACTTATATTAATGAATCATGTGTATAAACATGTGAATCTTTGTATGTTTTTAATTTAGATTAAACAATATTATTATCTTTACTTAGAGAGAACTATATATATGGTGGAGTGCTTCGGTTCGTGGCATTCTAGTTTATTTTCATTATAAAAATTCAGCATTTCCGATCAGTTTTAAAATAGAACAAGTAATTATGATCATACTAATTGAAATTAAATTTATCCTTAATAAGGTCTTATGCATACCCAAAAACTAGAACATTGACGAGAATTTCATTCTTACAACCAGCTCCGAATGGATTTGGGTCCAGGATATCAACTTAGGAGGAAATCCTTTGCTACATAAAAAAAATTAAAAAAAAAATTGAAATTGATCATGAGAAATTTCTTGCATGTTGCCCGAGTGTCTTGTCTTTGCGAGAAACGGATGGATAAAAGTCCAAAAGAGGAGGTGCCCAGCTGCTACCACAATATTTATTGTCTTGCATGGCTTGCTTTGCCCCACCATTTTCTGCTTTTAGTATTTGTTGTCCGAACGTCTTTGCCTGAGTTTTGCTTTGTCTAGCATTTTGTCATGCATGATGTGTGTGTCTATGTATATATACTTTGAAGGATATAAATGTTGCAATCAACTTTTGATTTTAGCTCAAGTGGAAATTGCTTTATCATCTTTTAAACTATTTGTATGCATACGATATTTATGTTAGAGTTCCACACTATTAAAGGAAACGGAATGGGTGGGATAGCATAAGGAAGCTTTGCTTACATGTATCCTCACGCCATTAAAACCCATACCGACATGGTTGGTTAACCTAAGACCTGTTTTATTCAATATTGAATCGATTACGACATGGTTGGTTAACCTAAGACCTGTTCTATTCAATATTGAATCGATCAAAAAGAATAAAAAATAAAAACAAAAAAAAACTTGACTCACATGGTCAAGAATCCAGATTAATATGAGATCTGGTCTATTTAAAGTTGAATTAGTCAAATTAAATAAATAAAAAAATTTGACTAACTTGGTCAAAAATCTAAGTTAACTTGCTAACTTGATTAACCCAAAATTGATCCTGTCAATACTTAGACTCAACTCAATAACTATTTTTATTAAAAAAAGTTAAAATAATATTATTTTCATCTCTTTTTTCTTTTCAAAAAGGAAAAATTAAGGTTGCCCTGAACATTATCTCATGTTCATCCTAGGTCAGGTTTTATAACTATGACAAACACTACTATCTTAAATAAGTTATTAATTTATAGTTTTAAACTAGACTTGAGTCTGCGCTATGTCACAAGTTTGTATTTTTTCATAAAAATAAATATGTTTAGGCGATGCAAGCATGTTTCATTGAGGATCAAAGTAAAAAAAAAAAAAAAACACATGACAAATATGGTTGAATGATGAAATTGACAAAAAAAAATACTTTTTAAAGAACCAAAGATGGAAAAATAGAAACCAAAAGAACAAGAACCGAATCTAAAGAAAATATAAATTGAGGAGCAGTTCTGAAAAATTAAAAAGTTCGAGCATGAAAATCGATGAGTGAAAGAGACAAAAAAAAATATTGGTAGCAAACTAAATGTTCATTTAGGACATGAGTCGACGAACTATAGATGTAACGTTAAGAAGAATCAAATGCTATTCTAGAAGTTAATTTTTGACTACTAGACAATGTCACACGTGTAGCCTAAAAACTTTAACAATCATTCATATGCTGCTGATATATTCAATCCATACATCAATTATGTTTGAATATTCATTAAATATTAAAGTTCAAGTTTACCCCTAATCTCACCTAAAAATAATCCAAAAAAACAAATCAAGGCTAAGATAATGAAAATGACCTTTGACAAAAGCTTTTTTTCTTGACCTCAAGGCATTCCAGTTACTTAATTGTGCATTTAAAGTTGAGAAAGAAAAAATGCTTCTGTATATGACGGGTCTCAATCTTTTTGATTCTAAGAGTATATTTGTATTTTTATTATTCAAAAATAATAAAAAGTCATAACCACCTCATCGGTTAGACCAAATTTTTATATCACAAGGGGAGAATAGTAGTAGAAAACAATGTTTTTACCCCTTCTCTTTTAATTTAATAAGGGCTCAATTAAAAAAAAATGAAGCATAGGGGCGGGTAGATTAAAAAAAGATAGCTTTTTAGATGCTAATTTGATTCTAGATCATTTCCAAAGCCCACATCACTCAAAAGCCTAGTGAATTTCAAGCAATATCAATTTACAAATGTGTTTCAAGTTTTTATGTTTATAATTCGATAATACTACAAAAGAGAAATATTTATATTGCTATATCAATGATGCTACGAATCATCATTATTAGGGTTGTTCATAAAAATAATATATGTGCAATGTTTGTATTTTTTGATCTGGCTTAATATATACCCATTAAAATCAAATAATACCACTATTACATATAATAATGAATTAAAAAATTTTAAAAATAAATATTATAAATTAGGTGATAGGTTAAAATTTATAAAATCCAGATAACTTGACTTAATTAGTGTAACCATCAACTCACTTCATCCACCAAATTAAATTAGATTAATAGAATAAACAAAAGTTAAAGAAAAGTAATTTAGTAAACTTAATTCAGAAAATTTAAGTCTAATATATGTGAATTTAAATCCATTAATCGTATTATCCAATATTAAACCTACCGTTGATGCATGTAACATATAATTACTTATGTCATTGGTGACTTATTATATATTAGCAATTTTGGGCTAATTAATTCAATGGATATTTTAATTCTAATTAAGCTCACTAATAAAAACAATTATGAATATCAACTATATTTATATAAAAATTGACTTAACATGATATATTTAATATGATCAAAATTATGAATATCAACTATATTTATATAACTGATCGAATAAAAAATTGAATAAGTAAGTTGAGTTTACAATTTATAAAATATTAGAAGTTAGAATAGATTATAGATGTTAAATAATATGTTTAACTTGACCTATATATAAGCTCTTTGTATTTAGGTTAAAGGAAAAGCTTTAATACAAAATGAACTGAGAAGAATTTTTGCCTCATTCTCTTTCATGTTTGTATTTATTTTTGTGTTAATTGAATTATTTTAATATGGTATTAGAGCTGGTTTTATGTTATTTTTTTAAAGTGATATTTTGTCTTTCACTTTTTTAAAATCTGATATTTTGATTTTCCTTCAGCTTTTGCAATTTGGTATTTTTATTTTATCTATGTAATTATTTTAATATTTCATCTTCTGTAATTTGTGTTATGTTTTGGAGTAATCTTATAATTTTGAGAAGATATTTGTTGAGTATCTGTGATATCTATTCAGTTTCTGCAATCTGGTATTTTGTCTTTTACTGCTTTTGCATTCTAGTTCTTTTTGTTTGTTAATTATAGCTACCAAAAAAGATGATTTGCTTCAGTCTATGAATGTGAGGTTCGATAGAAAGAATTATTCATACTGGAGGATTTGCTTCAGTCTGTGAATGTGAGGTTCGATGGAAAGAATTATTTATACTGGAGTTATGTAATGAGAGATTTCCTTAAGGATAAAAAGATGTGGGGGTATGTTAGTGAAACTTATGTGATACCTATGAATACTAAGGAGGGGGATATTATTTTAATAGATACATGGAAAGCAAACAATGCAAAGATCATCACTTGGATCAACAATTCTGTTAAACATTTCATAGGTACATAGTTAGCAAAGTATAAGACAACAAAGAAGGTTTGGAATCATTTATAAATGTTATTCACGCAATCAAATTTTGCAAAGCAGTATCAGTTAGAGAATGACATACGAGCTCTTCACTAGGATAATATGAGTATTAATTTGAGATATTTTATGTTATAATCTCATCTCTTGAATTTGTTTCTAGTAGTCATGATTCTACTCTTTTTGTTAAGAGCACTAATACAGGTCGTATCATTTTATCCTTATATGTTAATGACATAATTATTACTGGTGATGACATTGATGGTATCTCAATTTTGAAGACAGAGCTAGCTAGACAATTTAAAATGAAGGATTTAGGTTCTCTTTGATAGTTTATAGGTATTGAGGTAGTTTACTTACTTAGAGGTTACATTTTTTCTCAAAAGAAATATGTTGCAAAAATTCTTGAGCGGGCTAAACTTACTGATAACAAGACTGTAGATACTCTCATTGAAATTAACGTAAGGTATTCTTCTTCTGATGGTTTGTCTTTGACAAATCTTACTTTATACAGTACTATTTTTGAGAGCTTGATATATCTCACAATTACTCGTCTGGATATTGCATATGTTGTTCATGTTATTAGTTAGTTTGTTGCTTCTTCTACTACTATTCACTAGGCTGCTATTCTTTGTATTTTACGATATCTTTGGAGTACAGTCTTTCAGAGCCTCTTAACCTCTTCTGTGAACCTATGTGCATACTCTAATGCTGATTATGGTAGTGATCCCACATATCGCAAATCAGTTACTAGTTTCTGTATCTTTTTAGACGATTTTCTTATGAAAAAGCAAGAAACAATCTATTATTTCTCAATCTTCAACCAAAACAAAATATCGTATTATGACATCTAATATCAAAGAGATTATTTGGTTATGTTGATTACTTGTGGATATGAAAGTTTCACTTTCTCATTCTACTTCTATGTATTGTAACAACCAAAGTTCTATTCAAATTGCTTATAACTCAGTTTTTCATTAACAAACTAAGCATATTGGGATTGATTGGCACCATTACTTTGCATTTTGTTTCTTCTTCCTTGCAAATTATAGATTTTTTTACCAAGTCGCATTTCAATTCTTGTTTTTGTTTTCTAGTTAGTAAACTCTCAATGCTTGTAGTTGCCGCATCATGAGTTTGATGGAGATATTAAATAATATATTTATATTGTTTTATTTATTAAGGATAAAATAATATTTTTAACTTAACCTATATACAAGCTGTTTGTATTTAGGTTAAAGGAAGAATTTTAACACAAAATAAACTAAGGAAAATACTAACCTTATTCTCTTTCATGTTAATATTTATTTTTGTAT